ATTTTTTCAAGTTTTGGGTTTTTTCATTTTTCCCGATTTTCTAATTTTTCGATTTTTAAACTTTTCGCATAAAAAAATGGAAAAAATGCAAAATTGTAAAATAGAAAAATCTAAAATAAAAAAAAACTTTGAAAACTCTAAAAATTGGAAATCAAGAACTTGAAAAATCGAAGAAACGAAAAATTCAAAAATCGAAAGAATAAAAATTAAGGAAGCTGAAAGTCGAAAAGTGCAAAACTGAAAAAAAAAGTATTGTAAAAGTGAAATCTTGGAAATTAAAGAAGTCGGAAAAATTAAAAATTGGAAACTCGAACAACTGAAAAATAAAGGAAATAAAAAAAATGAAAAATTGTGATATAAAATTGAAAAAATTAAAATTAATTAATCGGAAAAATGAAAAACAGAAATCAAAAATCTGAAAAATTGAAAAAGCAAAAAATAAAAAACTAATATCTAAAATTAGGAAATTGCAAAAATTGGAATTGAAAAAGCGAACAATTATGAAACTGAAACACGAAAAAATAAAAAACAGAAAATTATAATTTTTCGCTTATTCAATTTTTCAAATTTTCAGTATTCGATTTCCAATTTAAAAAATAAGGCTTATTATAAAAAATAAAATTCGCAAAATCAAATGTTACAATTTTTCGAAAAATCTGGATTTATTTTCCTTCGACCAATTTTTTTAAGCCACATTTTTTCGTTTTTTTCATTTTCTTTAATTTTTCAATGAATTAATTGTTCGTTTCCTTATTTTTTCAAATTCTTGATTTTTATTTTTCATTTTCCTGATTTTTTTAATTTTCATTTTCTCGATTTTATAATGTTTCATTTAATCGATTTTGAAAAAGTAAAAAGGTAGACACATCGAAAAATCCAGAAGTCAAAAATAGAAAAGCCGAAGAATTGAAATATTGAAAAATCCTAAAACTGAAAAATCGAAAAATCAAAAAAGTGAAGTCCTAAAAAATCGAAAAGTTGAAAAATCAAAAAATTAAAGAATTGAAGTACAGGAAAATCGAAACACTCGAAGGTCAAGAAATGGGAAAATCAAAACATCGAAAAATTGACATTTTATAAATGTCAAATTTGAAAAACTGAAAAATCGAAAATTTGAAAAAACGACAATTGAAAAACAGAAAATCTAAAACGGGGAAGTCGAAAAATCAAAACATTAAGAAATCGAAAAATCTAAAATTTTAAATATTGAAAAATTAAAATACCAAAAAATTGAGTTTTACAGAAATAAAATATCTTAATAAATAATTGAGTAAACAATGGCAGAATATTTATAATTTGTGGTCAAACAAACTTTAGCCATTTTTCTGGTCCATTCAAGTCTATAACACAACAAATATCTAAAATTATGTTTTCATCAAATTTTTTCGTTTTTTTCATTTTCTTTAATTTTTCAATGAATTAATTGTTCGTTTCCTTATTTTTTCAAATTCTTGATTTTTATTTTTCATTTTCCTGATTTTTTTAATTTTCATTTTCTCGATTTTATAATGTTTCATTGAATCGATTTTGAAAAAGTAAAAAGGTAGACACATCGAAAAATCCAGAAGTTAAAAATAGAAAAGCCGAAGAATTGAAATATTGAAAAATCCTAAAACTAAAATATCTAAAAACTGAAAAATCGAAAAATCAAAATGAAGTCGAAAAATAGAAACCTTAAAAAATCGAAAAATCAAAAACCTGAAAAATCAAAAAATTAACGAACTGAAGAACAGGAAACTCGAAACACTCGAAGGTCAAGAAATGGGAAAATCAACATCGATTAATTGAAAAATCAAAAAATTTAGAGTTTATGAAAGTCAAATTTGAGAAATTAAAAAATCGAAAATTTGACAAAATGACAATTGAAAAACAAAAAACCTAAAAAAGTGAAGTCGAAAAATAGATTTTAGAATACAGGTTTTGACTTTTGAATTTTTAAGTTTCTCAATTTTAATCTTGATTTTTTATTTTTGATATCTGTAATTTTTCGATTTGCACTTTTTTCGTTTAGATTTTAGATTTTTCAGTTTGTGCAATTTTCAATTTTATGTTTCTTCAATTTTTGATTTGCAATTTTTCTAGTGTTCATTGAAATATGCAATAAATTATAATTATTATATAATTTTTAAAAATTTTCACATTTTTACGATTTCAGATTTTTTTTATATTTTTCGATTTTCCAATTTTCGTTTATTTCCAGTTTTTGGATTAATTATTTTTTCGATTTTTAAGTTTCTCCATTGTTAGTTTTCCAATGTTTGAATTTTTCGTTTCTTCAGTCCTTCGAGTTACAATTTTTCGATTTTTCAATTTCTCATTTTTTCAAGTTTTGGGTTTTTTCATTTTTCCGGATTTTCTAATTTTTCGATTTTTAAACTTTTCGCATAAAAAAATGGAAAAAAATGCAAAATTGTAAAATAGAAAAATCTAAAATAAAAAAAAAACTTTGAAAACTCTAAAAATTGGAAATCAAGAACTTGAAAACTTGAAGAAACGAAAAATTCAAAAATCGAAAGAATAAAAATTAAGGAAGCTAAAAATCGAAAAGTGCAAAACTGAAAAAAAAAATGTATTGTAAAAGTGAAATATTTGAAATTAAAGAAGTCGGAAAAATTAAAAATTGGAAACTCGAACAACTGAAAAATAAAGGAAATAAAAAAATGAAAAATTGTGATATAAAATTGAAAAAATTAAAATTAAAAAATCGGAAAAATGAAAAACAGAAATCAAAAATCTGAAAAATTGAAAAAAAATAAAATAAAAAACTAATATCTAAAATTAAGAAATTGCAAAAAATGGAATTGAAAAAGCAAAAAATTATGAAACTGAAACACGAAAAAATAAAAAACACAAAATTATAATTTTTCGCTTATTCAATTTTTCAAATTTTCAGTATTCGATTTCCAATTTAAAATATAAGGGTTATTATAAAAAATAAAATTCGCAAAATCAAATGTTATAATTTTTCGAAAAATCTGGATTTATTTTCCTTCGACCAATTTTTTAAGCCACATTTTTTCGTTTTTTTCATTTTCTTTAATTTTTCAATGAATTAATTTTTCGTTTCCTTATTTTTTCAAATTCTTGATTTTTATTTTTCATTTTCCTGATTTTTTTAATTTTCATTTTCTCGATTTTATAATGTTTCATTTAATCGATTTTGAAAAAGTAAAAAGGTAAGACACATCGAAAAATCCAGAAGTTAAAAATAGAAAAGCCGAAGAATTGAAACATTGAAAAATCCTAAAACTGAAATATCTAAAAATTGAAAAATCGAAAAATCAAAAAAGTGAAGTCGAAAAATAGAAACCTTAAAAAATCGAAAAATTGAAAAATCAAAAACCTGAAAAATAAAAAAATTAAAGAACTGAAGAACAGGAAAATCGAAACACTCGAAGGTCAAGAAATGGGAAAATCAACATCGATTAATTGAAAAATCAAAAAATTTAGAGTTTATGAAAGTCAAATTTGAAAAATTAAAAAATCGAAAATTTGACAAAATGACAATTGAAAAACAGAAAATCTAAAAAAGTGAAGTCGAAAAATAGATTTTACAATACAGATTTTGATTTTTGGATTTTTAAGTTTCTCAATTTTAATCTTGATTTTTTATTTTTGATTTCTGTAATTTTTCGATTTGCACTTTTTTCGTTTCGATTTTAGATTTTTCAGTTTGTGCAATTTTCAATTTTATGTTTCTTCAATTTTTTATTTGCAATTTTTCTAGTGTTCATTGAAATATGTAATAAATTATTATTATTATATAATTTTTAAAAATTTTCACATTTTTACGATTTCAGATTTTTTAATAATTTAATGGAAAAAATGCAAAATTGTAAAATCGGAAAAATTAAAAATTGGAAACTCGAACAACTGAAAAATAAAGGAAATAAAAAATGAAAATTTGTGATATAAAATTGAAAAAATTAAAATTAAAAAATCGGAAAAATGAAAAACAGAAATCAAAAACCTGAAAAATTGAAAAAGCAAGAAATAAAAAACTAATATCTAGAATTAGGAAATTGCAAAAATTGGAATTGAAAAAGCGAAAAATTATGAAACTGAAACTCGAAAAAATAAAAAACACAAAATTATAATTTTCTGCTTATTCAATTTTTCAAATTTTCAGTATTCGATTTCCAATTTAAAAAATAAGGGTTATTATAAAAAATAAAATTCGCAAAATCAAATCTTATAATTTTTCGAAAAATCTGGATTTATTTTCCTTCGACCATTTTTTTAAGCCACATTTTTTCGTTTTTTTCATTTCTTTAATTTTTCAATGAATTAATTGTTCGTTTCCTTATTTTTTCAAATTCTTGATTTTTATTTTTCATTTTCCTGATTTTTTTAATTTTCATTTTCTCGATTTTATAATGTTTCATTTGATCGATTTTGAAAAAGTAAAAAGGTAGACACATCGAAAAATCCAGAAGTCAAAAATAGAAAAGCCGAAGAATTGAAATATTGAAAAATTAAAATACCAAAAAATTGAGTTTTACAGAAATAAAATATCTTAATAAATAATTGAGTAAACAAGGGTAGAATATTTAAAATTTGTGGTCAAACAAACTTTAGCCATTTTTCTGGTCCATTCAAGTCTATAACACAACAAATATCTAAAATTATGTTTTCATCAAATTTTTCAAAGTGTAAAAAGTAATTGTGAAAGTAATGTATTACTTTCAACACCGACTTCGAGCCACTGGTCTACCGTGGTACAAGTCAATACGCAGCGCTTAAATCTCAACCGCCTAACCCTAATAATAAGCAACAAAAACATTTGAGTGAGTTATACACATCTAGCAGCACATGGCTCTTTAAAATATCACGAAACACTTTACATATTTGATTAATACTTCTCTATCACCGTAGTCATGATTGTTACTGTTTAATATAAACGTTTTCAAAAAAGATTTTATAAAAATCAGTCGAGTTAAAATTTTACCAACCTGGGAAGCTCCACCCGTCCACCTCCCCCCACCAAATCATTGGTTTTTATGCGTCTTCAAATGCCTAATAAGATGCGCCTTCTGCGAAAACCTCTTATTACAATATTCACACAAAAACGCCTTCTCCCCCGTATGCACCAACATATGCTGGTACAGTTGCCCCTTCGTCGAAAACGCCTTCCCGCACTGGTCGCACCTGTAGTTCTTCTCCCCAGTGTGGATCTTCGTATGCGTGTTCAAGTTACTCGAGCTCGCGAACCTCTTTGGACAGTACGTGCACCCATAAGGCCGCTCCGACGTGTGTATCGCTATAGTGTGCTTCGTGAGCTGTTGCGCCGTCGCGAACGCCTTAGTGCACGCCGCGCACACGTGGTTCTTCTCCCCCGTGTGCGTCCTCATGTGGGTGTGTAAATGGCCCCCATTGATAAACCGCTTGTCGCACAAATGGCACACGTAGGGCCGCTCCCCCGTATGGATCCGAATGTGATGGATCAGCCCCGGCTTGGTGCGAAAAATCTTCCCGCACGTGTCGCACTGGTGCTGCTTCGTCGGCTTCTTCGACTTCGAGCTCTGATTGATTCCAATGAGCGGCAAATCCTCCACTTTCAACTCGAGCTCGGACGGCTTCAAGTCCCCGAATTCGATTTTCAGCTCCGTGAAGGTGCTCTTGTCGAGGTCGTGCAGCGACGTGGTGGGCTCGATGTGCACGCTCTGCAGCGGCTGCAGCTGGTTTTGCTCGATTTGGTTGTCCGAGATGTTGCCCTCTTGAGCGGCGTTTTCGGCGACCTGCACTTGCTCTAGAGTGTTTTCGGCGAACGCCACCGCGGAGTTGTCTTTTTTCACCTCGATGAAGCCGCTGAGGTCCGGGGTGGTGGGTAGGTGGTTGAAGTTTTCGAAACATTGGCGCAGTTTGGCGTCCGAGGATTCGCACTGAGTTTTGAACTGGAATGCTATGTTGAGTTTGGAGATGCATTTCTGGCAGATGTAGGGTGGAAGACCGTCACCTTCTATCACCTGAAAGGGTGTATTAGTGGTGGTTTGGGGTTGGGTTGCTCCTACCTGCACGGAAGCGCAAGCCATTATTAAAATGGAAAAGTGAGGGGGTTTGATAGGGTCGAAGATCGGCATTAGTTTCGGGTTGCGTTCCAGACATATTCTACAAATGTTATTTATGTTCATTGTTAAATAATAATTCAAAACATCGCTGGACTGCATGTTTTTGTTGTTGTATGCCATTTTTACGTCATTAGAGTGTCAGTGTCGGTAATGCAGGTTTCGTGAAGTGGTGGTACCGACGCACCCATAGATTAATGTAGATGCGACATACAGGCTGATTTTTTAAATGGTTTTAGTCAAAATTTTTGTGGTTGTTTTCGATACACTGTATAATACTAACAGTGAGAAAAAAAAATGAAAAATTAAAATACTTAATCGAAAATTCGAGAAATCTAATAATCGAAAAATCGAAACCTTAAAAAATCGAAAAACCGAGAAATCGAAAAATCAATAAATCGTGGAGTCGAAAAGTCGAACAATTGAGAAACCTTAATAGGCCAAAATCGAAAAGTTAGAAATTGAACAATTTATAAATTGAGAAACTGACAATCAAAATATCGAAAAATCCAAATCTCGATAAATCGAGAAATCAAAAAACTTAAAAATTCGAAAAATTGAGAGATTGAAAGATCAAAACAACGAGAAATCGAAAAGTGATGAAGTCGAAAAATCGAAAAATAGAGAAATCGATAAACAAAAAGTTAAAACTTGAAAAATTGGAAAAGCGGAAAAATCAAAAAATTAAAGAATTACAATACAGGTTTTGATTTTTGGATTTTTAAGTTTCTCAATTTCAATCCTGATTTTTTTATTTATGATTTCTGTAATTTTTCGATTTGCACTTTTTTCGTTTCGATTTTAGATTTTTCAGTTTGTGCAATTTTCAATTTTATGTTTCTTCAATTTTTGATTTGCAATTTTTCTAGTGTTCATTGAAATATGTAATAAATTATTATTATATAATTTTTAAAAATTTTCACATTTTTACGATTTCAGATTTTTTTATATTTTTCGATTTTCCACTTTTCGTTTATTTTTCGTTTCTTCAGTCCTTCGAGTTACAATTTTTCGATTTTTCAATTTCTCATTTTTTCAAGTTTTGGGTTTTTTCATTTTTCCCGATTTTCTAATTTTTCGATTTTTAAACTTTTCGCATAAAAAGATGGAAAAAATGCAAAATTGTAAAATAGAAAAATCTAAAATAAAAAAAAAACCTTGAAAACTCTAAAAAATGGAAATCAAGAACTTGAAAACTTGAAGAAACGAAAAATTCAAAAATCGAAAGAATAAAAATTAAGGAAGCTAAAAATTGAAACGTGCAAAACTGAAAAAAAAAATGTATTGTAAAAGTGAAATATTGGAAATTAAAGAAGTCGGAAAAATTAAAAATTGGAAACTCGAACAACTGAAAAATAAAGGAAATAAAAAACTGAAAAATTGTGATGTAAAATTGAAAAAATTAAAATTAAAAAATCGGAAAAATGAAAAACAGAAATCAAAAATCTGAAAAATTGAAAAAGCAAAAAATAAAAAACTAATATCTAAAATTAGGAAATTGCAAAAATTGGAATTGAAAAAGCGAAAAATTATGAAACTGAAACACGAAAAAATAAAAAACACAAAATTATAATTTTTCGCTTATTCAGTTTTTCAAATTTTCAATATTCGATTTCCAATTTAAAAAATAAGGGTTATTATAAAAAATAAAATTCGCAAAATCAAATCTTACAATTTTTCGAAAAATCTGGATTTATTTTCCTTCGACTAATTTTTTTAAGCCACATTTTTTCGTTTTTTTCATTTTCTTTAATTTTTCAATGAATTAATTTTTCGTTTCCTTATTTTTTCAAATTCTTGATTTTTATTTTTCATTTTCCTGATTTTTTAATTTTCATTTTCTCGATTTTATAATGTTTCATTTAATCGATTTTGAAAATGTAAAAAGGTAGACACATCGAAAAATCCAGAAGTTAAAAATACAAAAGCCGAAGAATTGAAATACTCAAAAATCCTAAAACTGAAAACTCGAAAAATCAAAAAAGTGAAGTCGAAAAATAGAAACCTTAAAAAATCGAAAAATTGAAAAATCAAAAACCTGAAAAATCAAAAAATTAAAGAAGTGAAGAACAGGAAAATCGAAACACTCGAAGGTCAAGAAATGGGAAAATCAAAACATCGATTAATTGAAAAATCGAAAAATTGAGAGTTTATGAAAGTCAAATTTGAAAAATTAAAAAATCGAAAATTTGACAAAATGATAATTGATAAACAGAAAATCTAAAAAAGTGAAGCCGAAAAATAGATTTTACAATACAGTAGCGTCCGGTTATAATGAACTCAAAAAATGTAACAAAACTAGTTCATTATATCCGAAGTTCACTATTAACGGAAAAATAAAAACTGCGTTTGTTTAAATTCAATTTACTTCAATTCTACGTTGGGAACAATTCAAAAAATATTTCTTGGTTTATAAACTAAAAATAAAAAAAAACATAGCTATTTATGTAATTACATATAACAAGACGTCACATAAACACAAGTCTACTTGACAAAATCAGTTATTTTTGTCTGTACATATCTATTAGAAAAGTGAATGTCACTAATATAGCGTTCGAGGTTGCAAAAGCTGTTCCATATAGGCTCCGGAACAGTGCGCGATTCTAAAAAGTTGCGAGTCTCTGCCATTTTTTGCGCCATTTCATTAAGAGAAGGAACATAAACATCAACATCTTCATCAGACTCATTTTCCTCACCCTCGGCCTCGTCACTTGTTGCCATGACTGATGTCACTGATTCTATAATCTGCTCGTCAGTTAGTCTTTCTGTTACCGTTATGTCGTTATCAATTTCCACATATTCTTCAAAATTAAATTCCCCGATTTTCTCTTGCACTGCAATTTCAATTGCATTATCCACATCTGTGAAAATAAGTCCAGGATCATCTTCATGTTTTTTTAACCATTCTGTTAGGGGAAGCTCATCGTCTGCATCAAATTCAGCACTTTTTTCAGAAAATCCTCCATGCTTGAAACAGTTTGCTATTGTATCTTTGCTAACCTTTTGCCAAGCCATGTGAATAAAATTTACAGCATCTAAAATGCTAACTGAAAATGTTTTTCCGTTGTCCATAGCCTCTATCATCTGCGCGAGTAAAATTTTCCTATAATGGCTCTTTAATGAATGAATTACACCTTGATCCATCGGTTGTAATTTTGAACTCGTATTCGGTGGCATAAAAACTAATTTAATTTGGTTTAGTTTAATCTCAGGGTGAGCTGTACAGTTATCAACTAAAAGTACAATTTTCCTATTTTTTTGTTTTAATTGTTCATCCCATTCAAGCAGTTCATTTGTGAAAATTTCAGAGGTCATCCACGCGTTACGGTTTGATTTGTATTTTACGGGCAATTGTTTATTTTTGAAACATCTAGGATTGGCAGATTTGCCTATAACCAACAATTTCCTTTTTTCTGTTCCAGACATATTGGCAGCTACTAAAACTGTAATCCTCAATTTAGATAACTTTCCTCCAGCACAACTTTCTCCCACAAATTTTAAAGTCTTATCAGGAGTCATTTGATAAAAGAGCCCTGTCTCATCAGCGTTAAAAATGTCTTCACTGTCATAGTTTTTCCGAATATGAGGCCAAACATTAGTTAACCAGTCATTAACAACATTCAAATCTACTGCTGCAGACTCACCCACAATTTTTCCTGTTCGGATATTATGTCTTCTTTTAAAACGTTCAATCCAACTTTTAGAACACTTGAAGTCTTTGTTTTCGATTTTACTACCCATTTCATTAGCTTTTTCTTGTAGAATAATACCACTTACAGGAACGTTTTCTTGTCTTTTTTGTGTAAACCACTTAAGAAGCCCTTGATCCATTTCATGGTGCTTTGATTTTCTCATTTTTTTACACGTAGAATTTCCCTGACCATACGCTGATAAAATGGCTTCTCTTTGCTTCCATATCATAGAAACAGTGGATTTTATCAAGTTCATTTCCTGGCTAACATCGCGTTGTTTAACACCACTTTGTATTTTTTGTATAATATCATACTTGTCCTTTAAGGTTAGAGCTTTACGTTTTTGTTTTTCCATTTCGAACAATGTTATTACACAAGTAAGTACTTATGTAGCGCTACTTCGACACAGTGACCAAGAATCGACTGGCACAGAAAGCAAGTTGGTGGGGAAATGCGTAGCGCGTAAATCAGGGAATCCCCGAAAAGTTCATTATAAACGGAAAACTGCACTTTATTTTGAATAATATTTAGTTCATTTTATCCGAAAGTTCATTACAAGCGGATTCAGTGGTTCATTATAACCGAAAAAAAATACATTAGATATATGGAAAAAATTTCGTTACTTGAAATACAGTACACTATAGCCGGAAGTTCATTACAAGCGGGTTCATTATAACCGGACAATACTGTACATATTTTGATTTTTGGATTTTTAAGTTTCTCAATTTTAATCTTGATTTTTGTAATTTTTCGATTTGCACTTTTTTAGTTTCGATTTTAGATTTTTCAGTTTGTGCAATTTTCAATTTTATGTTTCTTCAATTTTTGATTTGCAATTTTTCTAGTGTTCATTGAAATATGTAATAAATCATTATTATATAATTTTTAAAAATTTTCACATTTTTACGATTTCAGATTTTTTTTTATATTTTTCGATTTTCCAATTTTCGTTTATTTCCAGTTTTTGGATTAATTATTTTTTTCGATTTTTAAGTTTCTCCAATTTTCGTTTTTCAATGTTTGAATTTTTCGTTTCTTCAGTCCTTCGAGTTACAATTTTTCGATTTTCCAATTTCTCATTTTTTCAAGTTTTGGGTTTTTTCATTTTTCCCGATTTTCTAATTTTTCGATTTTTAAACTTTTCGCATAAAAAAATGGAAAAAATGCAAAATTGTAAAATAGAAAAATCTAAAATAAAAAAAACCTTGAAAACTCTAAAAATTGGAAATCAAGAACTTGAAAACTTGAAGAAACGAAAAATTCAAAAATCGAAAGAATAAAAATTAAGGAAGCTAAAATTGAAAAGTGCAAAATTGAAAAAAAAAATGTATTGTAAAAGTGGAAGCTAAAAATCGAATGTGCAAAACTGAAAAAAAAATGTATTGTAAAAGTGAAATATTGGAAATTAAAGAAGTCGGAAAAATTAAAAATTGGAAACTCGAACAACTGAAAAATAAAGGAAATAAAAAAAATGAAAAATTGTGATATAAAATTGAAAAAATTAAAATTAAAAAATCGGAAACATGAAAAACAGAAATCAAAAATCTGAAAAACTGAAAAAGCAAAAAATAATAAATCTAATATCTAGAATTAGGAAATTGCAAAAATTGGAATTGAAAAAGCGAAAAATTATGAAACTGAAACACGAAAAAATAAAAAACACAAAATTATAATTTTTCGCTTATTCAATTTTTCAAATTTTCAATATTCGATTTCCAATTTAAAAAATAAGGGTTATTATAAAAAATAAAATTCGCAAAATGAAATCTCATAATTTTTCGAAAAATCTGGATTTATTTTCCTTCGACCAATTTTTTTAAGCCACATTTTTTCGTTTTTTTCATTTTCTTTAATTTTTCAATGAATTAATTTTGCGTTTCCTTATTTTTTCAAACTCTTGATTTTTATTTTTCATTTTCCTGATTTTTTTAATTTTCATTTTCTCGATTTTATAATGTTTCATTTAATCGATTTTGAAAAAGTAAAAAGGTAGACACATCGAAAAATCCAGAAGTTAAAAATAGAAAAGCCGAAGAATTGAAATAAAAAATCGAAAAATCAAAAAAGTGAAGTCGAAAAATAGAAACCCTAAAAAATCCAAAAATTGAAAAATCAAAAAATTAAAGAATTGAAGTACAGGAAAATCGAAACACTCGAAGGTCAAGAAATGGGAAAATCGAAACATCGATTAATTGAAAAATCGAAAAATTGGCAATTTATAAATGTCAAATTTGAAAAAACGACAATTGAAAAACAGAAAATCTAAAACCGGGAAGTCGAAAAATCAAAACATTTGAAAAATTCAAATACCGAAGAACTGAACTGAAAAATCGAGAAATCGAAAAATCTTACTTTTTAAAAATTAAAAAATCTAAAATTTCAAAATCAAAAAATTGAAAAATCGAAAAAGTAAAATAATCGACACATCGAAAAATTCAGGAGTCAAAAATCGAAAAGTCGAAGAATCGAAATATTGAAAAATTCCAAAACTGAAATATACAAAAACTGAGAACCTAAAGAATCGAAAAATCAAAAACCTGCAAAATCATAAGATCGTCGTTCGTGAAATGTCCAAAAACTCAGAAATTAAAAAATTGAGAAATCGAAACCTGAATAAATAGAAAAATTGAAAACCTGAAAAATCGACAAGTAAAGGGTTTATAAAAGTCAAAAATTGAAAAATCGAAATATTTAAAAATCGTAAAATTGAAGAGAAAAACAGAAAACCGAGAAATTGAAAAATTAAGAAATTGTAAAATCCAAAAAATAAATAGGAGTAAACTGAAAACTGATCAAGTGATCAAACAAGTTCTCGGACGACGAACTGTAATTCGTGTGACCTGAATTAAAGTGTCAATTTGTCGAAATTAAAACGCGTCGTTAAAAATTGTAGTTAATTTTATTCCTAGTTACTAACAAACACTGTTGCCAACATAAGTCGAGGAGTCCCCAATCGTCATTCAGTTTAAACTATGACGCTTCTCTACGTTCTCTGACGCATGGTAGAAGGAGACATGGTATAGGCATACGCATCGGGTGTGACGTCAAGTGGGGTGAAATTAGCGCGAAATTTAAAATACAATTCGTTATCCGACAACTAATTGACGTATTGGACAGAGCAATGACAACTCAAGCTGAAATTCCCTAGACTTCCCTAGCGAAGCTCACAAGAATCACAAGGTCGTTGATGCCACCTAACGTCACAAATGGATGCGCAGACCATTTTTAAATTGGTACATCGGATGCCTATACCATGTCTCCTTCTACCATGCTCTGACGCACCTGTCAGTTTAAAAACCCGCGCCGTTTCAACGCTTGTCATTGAACTACTTTATTCATACGATACAAATTTACACTAGTAAGTACAGTAACAGTAATTATCAAGAATAATACTTGTGCTTCAACAGGTATGTGCAAAAATATTTCACTTCGTTAAGGCGACTTGGAACCTCGTTCCATGAGAAGGTTACACATGAAGGCATTGTATTGCTAGGTCTGTGTTAACAATAAAACATAAATCACAACAAATTTTGGTTTAAATAAGAGTAAAATACTTAACTTAGATGATTTTTGGCACGGCTTATAACTATCATGTTTACAAAACTGATAACAAGAGCACCACTTGAATGATAACAAATAACGTGACGAATGAAATCGAGTGCACTTATAAACCTAATGTAGGTATGTAAGATAAATGCGGATTTGAATACACTTCAATGCTACCTTTCCTATATACAAAACAACACATATATACACGCATCCGTGTGACCTAATACTTTGAATAAATACACATTCGCACTGTCACAATAAATAATAACAAGTCATTGGCACCAGTTCAACTCCTGCAAACCACCAACCAATAAAATTGTTTCCACTGAGTAAGTCATACCTTGTAGGTGGTGTCGTAGCCACCTTTACTTTTCATTTGGTTCTGTAACGCTACGAGTTGATCGCCGGGCATTTCGACGTCCCTGCTCCCTATGTGTCCCGTGTGCTGGAAATTAGTCGGCGAGCCAATCATCGACCTGTAACAACCCGCATTACACGAATTTCACCCCGTTTGTCTCTACCTGTCAATCCGAATTCTTCGTTTTTGCGGCTGTTGCACGCAACAACTGAACCAAGACACCCACAGGTCACCGACAGCCGCCATCTGAAAACTGCGCTGTTATCAGGAAGTCAAAGATTAGTTTAAATTTGCCAAAGTGCTCTCAATCAAAGTCACAGATAACAATCAGACAAAATGTAAACAGCAACCAAGGAGGAAGTTTTTGTTTGTGATTCGCACCGCAAGTTTGGCGGCGTTGCCAAATAAATACCCACCTTTGTCAAAAGAAGAGGAAATGTTATTTAGCTAAATTTAGAAGGAACTATGAACTAAAATTACAAAGAACACAGCACGAATTTCACACAACCTCTATGTAGATGCCATCAAGGTCGTAAACGTCAAACGTCAAGACGGTGCGTCGCCAACACAACAACCGCATTGTTGCCAACCTATCTCAATCAATACGCCAATTCAACCGACTGTTTATTGATCAACGCTTTTACATAAATAATGTAAGAAATGGTATCACATAAAGAAAAAGTAAGTAAAGAAACGTTTAATTACATGGACTGTAATTTAAAAGTGGGCTAAATTAACTAACACACCGAATGAATTTGTCACTCATTCAATACTCGAACGAAATTACTTCTTCCACTCGTCCTTTTCGTAGTCCCACTTTGAACCAAGACCCTGGATGGGGTTAACTTGCAAATCGATGATACGCCTCAACTGCGCACTTCTATTTTCTTCCTTGAAACTCTCAGGTAGCGGACCGTACACTACAACCCAATTAGTAGCAGCTGCACTGTCACACTTTACCAACTTACCGAAAGTCTTCATGAAGTAGTAGCCCCAGAAACCCAGCGACATTAACATGAGGGCGCACCCTATCACCGACTTCCACTCTCCCGTGGGGGCTTTCATTTCTGAAAACGTTTGACAGAAGGACGCTCTATAAAGCGCTTTTTTCTCCTCAAGGCTCAATTTTCGCCAATCACCCTTCTCTTTTTCTCGTAGGGCCTAAACACTTTCGGTCACAAGGGTCCGAAAAATGGGGGAACTTACTTGAATGTCTGCCGTGCTTTCCTTCCATCGGATAGCCGGTAGGGGGAAATCTGGGCGATCCGCGTAGTTGGGCTGTCCGTTGTACCCAAAACCTACGATTTCCCTATTACCGATAATGGAGCGCATATCGCTCATGGAAGCTTTCTGGAACGACACCCTGAGGGGCAGAGCCCTCATCGACAAGAGTCTGCCAGCCATTATCTAAAACGACCAAGTTAGTTTGCGAACTGTCAGTGATTACCTAATCAAAGGTGGCAGCCACCTTGACGCAATCACGTGTAAAGTGAAAAGCCGCAATCCGATAAAGTGGGAACTGGGGGGGCCACAAAGTCCCCGAAGCACCCACAATGATGAAAATTATTACAAATAAAACGTACTTTTTGAAATAAACTTACCTCAAAAATTACGCAAAATGGCGATCCTCACTTCCGACTCATGTGTAGAGTGATCGCTGCCAACGCAAGAAACACAAAAGCACCGACACACCCACGGATTTATTCGTTGTTTAATAAATATTTATTCCTATTTCTCGATTTCTCCAATTTTCGGTGCTTTTTCAATTCTTCAATTTTACGTATTATCAAGTTTTTAATCTTTGACTGATGGATTGAATTTTTTGATTTTTTAACGTTTGAATTTGTCGAGATTTTTCAATTTTTTTATTCTTCAGTTTCGCAACATTTTAATTTTTCCTTTTTTTTTAACTTTGAATTTTTCGAATTCTCGCTGTTGCAGTACTTTGAGTTTTCTGTTTTCCAGTTTTTCGAATTTTTAAATTTATTTTGGGCTTTCAATTTTTCGATTTCTAGATGTTTCCATTTTTTGATTTTTAAAATTTAAAATTTTTCTATTTTAAATTTTTCAATTGTTCCATTTTTTAATGTTTCAGTTTCTCTATTTTCCAATTTTTCGATTTTTCTGTTTTTTAATATTTTAAATTTTCGATGTAACGAAACGTGGTGAAAAATTTCGGGTCGATTTATAAACTTGCCGCTGACGTTGCTATATTTATTAAGAAAAAAAGACAAAATATAAACCCCGCCGACCCACCCCATTCCAATTAAATGACTTTTTATTCGTAGAAACTTAAGACATTTTTTAAATTTTCGATTTTTCGACATTTCGTTTTGTATTTTTTTTTTCATTTTTTTTATTTTTTGATGTTTCGATTTCTCGAGATTTTTCAATTTTTTAATGTTTCAATTTCTCGTTCTTTCATTATTTCAGTTTTAACTTTTTCAATTCTTCAATTTTTTTTTTCGATTTTCCAAATTTCAATTGTCGTTTCTAAGTTTTAGTTTGTCGATTTTTCGAATTTTTGATTCCTCGATTATTCGAATTTTCGATTTCTCGTTTTTTTCCCATTTCTCGATTTCTCCACTTTTCGGTGCTTTTTCAATTCTTCAATTTTACGTATTTTCAAGTTTTTAATCTTTGACTGATGGATTGAATTTTTTGATTTTTTAATGTTTGAATTTGTCGAGATTTGTCAATTTTTTGATTCTTCAGTTTCTGTACATTTTAATTTTTCCTTTTTTTTTTAATTTTGAATTTTTCGAATTCTCGCTGTTGCAGTACTTTGAGTTTTCTGTTTTCCAGTTTTTCGAATTTTTAAATTTATTTTGGGCTTTCAATTTTTCGATTTCTAGATGTTTCCATTTTTTGATTTTTAAAATTTAAAATTTTTCTATTTTAAATTTTTCAATTGTTCCATTTTTTAAGGTTTCAATTTCTCTATTTTCCAATTTTTCGATTTTTCTGTTTTTTAATATTTTAAATTTTCGATGTAACGAAACGTGGTGAAAAACTTCGGGTCGATTTATAAACTTGCCGCTGACGTTGCTATATATATTAAGAAAAGAAGACAAAATATAAACCCCGCCGACCCACCCCATTCTAATTAAATGACTTTTTATTCGTAGAAACTTAAGACATTTTTTAAATTTTCGATTTTTCGACATTTCGTTTTGTATTTTTTTTTTATTTTTTTTATTTTTTGATGTTTCGATTTCTCAAGATTTTTCAATTTTTTAATGTTTCAATTTCTCGTTCTTTCATTATTTCAGTTTTAGATTTTTTCAATTCTTCCATTTTTTTTTTCGATTTTCCAAATTTCAATTGTCGTTTCTAAGTTTTAGTCTGTCGATTTTTCGAATTTTTGATTCCTCGATTATTCGAATTTTTATTTCTCGATTTTTTCCCATTTCTCGATTTTTCCACTTTTCGGTGCTTTTTCAAATCTTCAATTTTACGTATTTTCAAGTTTTTAATCTTTGACTGATGGATTGAATTTTTTGATTTTTTAATGTTTGAATTTGTCGAGATTTTTCAATTTTTTTATTCTTCAGTTTCTGTACATTTTAATTTTTCCATTTTTTTTTTAATTTTGAATTTTTCGAATCCTCGCTGTTGCAGTACTTTGAGTTTTCTGTTTTCCAGTTTTTCGAATTTTTAAATTTGTTTTGGGCTTTCAATTTTTCGATTTCTAGATGTTTCCATTTTTTGATTTTTAAAATTTAAAATTTTTCTATTTAAAATTTTTCAATTGTTCCATTTTTTAAGGTTTCAATTTCTCTATTTTCCAATTTTTCGATTTTTCTGTTTTTTAATATTTTAAATTTTCGATGTAACGAAACGTGGTGAAAAACTTCGGGTCGATTTATAAACTTGCCGCTGACGTTGCTATATATATTAAGAAAAGAAGACAAAATATAAACCCCGCCGACCCACCCCATCCCAATTAAATGACTTTTTATTCGTAAAAACTAAGACATTTTTTAAATTTCGATTTTTCGACATTTCGTTTTGTATTTTTTTTTTCATTTTTTTTATTTTTTGATGTTTCGATTTCTCGAGATTTTTCAATTTTTTAATGTTTCAATTTCTCGTTCTTTCATTATTTCAGTTTTAGATTTTTTCAATTCTTCCATTTTTTTTCGATTTTCCAAATTTCAATTGTCGTTTCTAAGTTTTAGTTTGTCGATTTTTCGAATTTTTGATTCCTCGATTATTCGAATTTTCGATTTCTCGATTTTTTCCCATTTCTCGATTTCTCCACTTTTCGGTGCTTTTTCAATTCTTCAATTTTACGTATTATCAAGTTTTTAATCTTTGACTGATGGATTGAATTTTTTGATTTTTTAACGTTTGAATTTGTCGAGATTTTTCAATTTTTTTATTCTTCAGTTTCTCTACATTTTAATTTTTCCTTTTTTTTTAATTTTGAATTTTTCGAATTCTCGCTGTTGCAGTACTTTGAGTTTTCTGTTTTCCAGTTTTTCGAATTTTTAAATTTATTTTGGGCTTTCAATTTTTCGATTTCTAGATGTTTCCATTTTTTGATTTTTAAAATTTAAAATTTTTCTATTTTAAATTTTTCAATTGTTCCATTTTTTAATGTTTCAGTTTCTCTATTTTCCAATTTTTCGATTTTTCTGTTTTTTAATATTTTAAATTTTCGATGTAACGAAACGTGGTGAAAAATTTCGGGTCGATTTATAAACTTGCCGCTGACGTTGCTATATTTATTAAGAAAAAAAGACAAAATATAAACCCCGCCGACCCACCCCATTCCAATTAAATGACTTTTTATTCGTAGAAACTTAAGACATTTTTTAAATTTTCGATTTTTCGACATTTCGTTTTGTATTTTTTTTTTCATTTTTTTTATTTTTTGATGTTTCGATTTCTCGAGATTTTTCAATTTTTTAATGTTTCAATTTCTCGTTCTTGCATTATTTCAGTTTTAACTTTTTCAATTCTTCAATTTTTTTTTTTCGATTTTCCAAATTTCAATTGTCGTTTCTAAGTTTTAGTTTGTCGATTTTTCGAATTTTTGATTCCTCGATTATTCGAATTTTCGATTTCTCGATTTTTTCCCATTTCTCGATTTCTCCACTTTTCGGTGCTTTTTCAATTCTTCAATTTTACGTATTTTCAAGTTTTTAATCTTTGACTGATGGATTGAATTTTTTGATTTTTTAATGTTTGAATTTGTCGAGATTTGTCAATTTTTTGATTCTTCAGTTTCTGTACATTTTAATTTTTCCTTTTTTTTTTTAATTTTGAATTTTTCGAATTCTCGCTGTTGCAGTACTTTGAGTTTTCTGTTTTCCAGTTTTTCGAATTTTTAAATTTATTTTGGGCTTTCAATTTTTCGATTTCTAGATGTTTCCATTTTTTGATTTTTAAAATTTAAAATTTTTCTATTTTAAATTTTTCAATTGTTCCATTTTTTAAGGTTTCAATTTCTCTATTTTCCAATTTTTCGATTTTTCTGTTTTTTAATATTTTAAATTTTCGATGTAACGAAACGTGGTGAAAAACTTCGGGTCGATTTATAAACTTGCCGCTGACGTTGCTATATATATTAAGAAAAGAAGACAAAATATAAACCCCGCCGACCCACCCCATTCTGATTAAATGACTTTTTATTCGTAGAAACTTAAGACATTTTTTAAATTTTCGATTTTTCGACATTTCGTTTTGTATTTTTTTTTTATTTTTTTTATTTTTTGATGTTTCGATTTCTCAAGATTTTTCAATTTTTTAATGTTTCAATTTCTCGTTCTTTCATTATTTCAGTTTTAGATTTTTTCAATTCTTCCATTTTTTTTTTCGATTTTCCAAATTTCAATTGTCGTTTCTAAGTTTTAGTCTGTCGATTTTTCGAATTTTTGATTCCTCGATTATTCGAATTTTTATTTCTCGATTTTTTCCCATTTCTCGATTTTTCCACTTTTCGGTGCTTTTTCAAATCTTCAATTTTACGTATTTTCAAGTTTTTAATCTTTGACTGATGGATTGAATTTTTTGATTTTTTAATGTTTGAATTTGTCGAGATTTTTCAATTTTTTTATTCTTCAGTTTCTGTACATTTTAATTTTTCCATTTTTTTTTTAATTTTGAATTTTTCGAATCCTCGCTGTTGCAGTACTTTGAGTTTTCTGTTTTCCAGTTTTTCGAATTTTTAAATTTGTTTTAGGCTTTCAATTTTTCGATTTCTAGATGTTTCCATTTTTTGATTTTTAAAATTTAAAATTTTTCTATTTAAAATTTTTCAATTGTTCCATTTTTTAAGGTTTCAATTTCTCTATTTTCCAATTTTTCGATTTTTCTGTTTTTTAATATTTTAAATTTTCGATGTAACGAAACGTGGTGAAAAACTTCGGGTCGATTTATAAACTTGCCGCTGACGTTGCTATATATATTAAGAAAAGAAGACAAAATATAAACCCCGCCGACCCACCCCATCCCAATTAAATGACTTTTTATTCGTAAAAACTAAGACATTTTTTAAATTTCGATTTTTCGACATTTCGTTTTGTATTTTTTTTTTCATTTTTTTTATTTTTTGATGTTTCGATTTCTCGAGATTTTTCAATTTTTTAATGTTTCAATTTCTCGTTCTTTCATTATTTCAGTTTTAGATTTTTTCAATTCTTCCATTTTTTTTCGATTTTCCAAATTTCAATTGTCGT